CTCGTCAGTGCAGCTTGGTACACGTCTAGATACGTGAGACACTCGTATTTATACCGATCGGTATATAAATGGGATATTTTAGTGTAATCTGATCATGCACCTGAAGAGAGAGGATCTAGAAAGGGCCTCTCGAAACAGAACTGTAGTGCTTTCCAATTTTTAATGAACATTCTTAGGTTTTAATCTTTAATTTTTAATTATATATATATATATATATATATATATATATATATATATATATATATATATATATATATATATATATATATATATATATATATATGTATTCAGGAAAGGCTAACTTAGATTTTGATATGCAGCCCTAAAATTGTCATTCAATACTACGTGAGATACAAATGTTTGAATTTAGCGCACGCTTTAAAAATGAGTAAAAAATCGAGAAACATGGCTGATCAAATTTATGTGAAAAAAATTGCCATTTTTCACAAACATTAACAATTTAAATTTTAACATTTCAACTCAACTTTATATAATTTCGGGTAATATCCTAGTATAAGTTAGCCTTTCGTGTTTCTTGGGAAGAGAAATAAACATGAAACATTTAAAAACGTTCGAAAGCATATTCGACGTCTTTTGCAATGCGAGTTCGTATTATAAAGTTGGTCTTCGTTCGCCTTTTGAATATGCCTCGATCAACAAAAGATCAATGAGTTTGGGTTTTATGCTTTCCCGTGCAAGACATTGTATACGTAAAAAAGGACATACTTTCTAAGACGAATGAATAAATTGTTTATCCAACAATTATGTTTTTCATTCGTTATTTTGCATGGCAACAATATATCAAGTTAAACCAAATAATATTTCCATGATATAGGCATTTTTATAATGTTTAACATTATTCGATTTAAAACATCGATAACTTTATATAGTCATTGTTGCACGGACATTCAAATGTTATACAGTCAAAATCAATCTAAGTTAGCCCTTTCTGAATACAAGAAAACTTATTTGAGTGCATGCATGCGCAATAGCTTTTCCAGCGGTTTTTACGTTACATTAAATCAAACAGCGCAAGTTTTTTTTGGGACACCCGGTATATGTATTTATATATTATGCATGCATGTATAAATGACACTTAATGAAAACGCATTGCAAGGTGCTGTTTATAAAAAATTTCGGTTGTTACAATTGCTGTCCATGCACTCGACATAGGTGTTGGCGATGCAGTAAGACTTGACAACAAAACTTTACACGTAAATTTTGGTAAGTTAAATTTCTCTTATGTCATAACATATATTCGATAATTTTGTTTTTAGTCTTCTATCAATTTGGTAGGGTCATGAAATGAAAGCTAAACCGAAGTGTTCCACATTTGAAACAAAATGATGCCATACTGTTTATGAATACACCATTTAAAACGACGAATTTGTTTCAATCTTTGTCTAGCTACACGACTGTCCAACCTTGAGCGCCAAGACTTAATTTCTGTTCTAAGAAACTAATAAATTGTATAAGCTCCATAAGAGAGCGATATTTATTGATAAACAGAAAAGTTTGAATTTTATCAGACAAGCGTTTCATATAATATTAATTTTCACATTTGCAAATGGGTATCCGTGTTGTAAAATAAAATGTAAAACTTCAACTGACCACAAATATATTTAACACTGCAAAATAATGTAAAGCCTTAAAATAACTCGTAATATTTATTTAACATAGAATATCATATGTCATTTGATCTTGTCCCCGAGCCGGCGGCGCGAAGCGCCGTGCGAGGGTACTAATTCCCCCCGGCTATTTACACCCGGGGAAACGAAAGCATTAGGGAAGTCCAGTGAAATGAATATAACTGGAACGCTACCTTCAACCGGAAGCTTGATGCTCAATTATGCAAGTCACCCCCAGTCTTTCCACGTAAAAACAAACACGGTCAAACAAAATATTTTTATGCGATTTCGTCTGATCGGGTCGAAACTCATAAAAAAAACTCGTTTTAGGGAGATAAGAACTAATTTTGTCACTACCTTCGGCTAGTTTAAACATTCTTGATTAATAGACTGCATTTTTTGAATACTTTGTATGGAAATGCTGAACAAAACGGTTCTTTGTTAGGAAAAAACATTGCGCCCAGGCGTGAAGTTTTCATTTACCATGTTGGGAGATGTTTTTTTCTATAATTGATGCATTTTTTGTGCAATCTAGTCACTTAGGAATGGGAATGAAGCAAACACAAACTTATAATATAAAATAGTGTCAGTATCAAGTGTATTTTGTGATGAAATTTTAGCTTTTAGGAGTGCTCAAAACATTGAAGTTTCTCCTCTACCCAGTCCTTTTTTAATTTATTGCGCATATTTACTGTAGTTGTTTAGTAAAAAAATATTTAAAGGGAAGAAAAAAACTGCGAAATTAAAGGAAAAATTGATATTTTTGTGACAGTGTTAGTGAGTAAAAATCATGCCACTTAACTGTGTTATACTTGGGTGTACAAACAGGGGTATTCCTCACCATGGACAAAATGCTACTGTAGCTTTTCACAGGTAATGACAATTACTTCCTTACTTTAACAAGATAAAAAAACAACACATGGAAAGGATATCTTAATATTTAATAAAACAGATTAAAATTACACTTCTTGTACTGAAATCTACAAGCATATATTTCTACATACTACTTTATCACCATTTTTGGCTATCATTGCTTTTACAATGACAACAGGGTCTATATTAAATTTTTTTGTGTGCGGTGCAATGTACTCAGGTGAATATGATGCTTGTGATGTTAATCTGAGTGTATATCCACACTGGCCAAGCTTGAAAAAATATGCCTGGGCTAGTATTCCAAAGGTCGTAGGTTCTTTCCCACCATGGCCAGGCATATTTTTCAAGCTTGACCAGTGTGGATATACACTCAGAGTAACATCACAAGCATCAGGGTCTTATATTGTTGCATCTTTGCCCGCACAGACAAGCAATTTTTTCTTGACAAGTTTTCCTGGTTCAAAATTTGGCATGACCACGTTTTGAACCAGGCTCCTTGTCAAGGAAAACTTGTCATTTTTTTCACATACACACAAGCAAATCTAATGTGTCAAGGAAAAAGTACTTGTCTGTGCGGGGCTTAAGTGTAACCCTTACATGTTGAAAACCACAGCACAAACCATGTAAGACAAGAGTCATCTTTTCAGTACCAATAAAGCCAAATTGGCTGCTCACAATATATGTATGTTGTAAACTATTATAGATTTCCAATGAAAGATAAGCATGCTTTAGAGCAGTGGGAGCATTTTGTTCAAGAAGCCAATAGGCCCAATATACTTAAAGAACCATGGAGGGCAACCAGTACTAGCCGTCTTTGTAGCGACCACTTCCAAGTAACAGATTACATCACCCCTCCTTCAGTGAATGGGTCATGTCGACTAAAAAAGTATGTCATACCATCAAAGTCCCATGACACGGCAACCATGTTGTTTACAATACCCAACAAAACAAGATGCAGGCTGGACCTGTCGAACAAGAGACCAATCCCCACAACTGATTTGGAAAACCTCTCGCCTCCAGAAAAAATCGCCAAAACTGCATCTACAGAAGAAAAAAGAGATGAGTTACAAACAAAACTTAGACAAAAAATTCGCAACTTACAACAGCAATTACGAAGGTCAAAACAGAAAGTCAAAACTATGAACGAAGCCATCAAAGTGTTGGAAGAAAGATCACTGATAACTTCAAAAGAAGCAGAAAGTCTGCAATCAACATTTGAAAATAAACATCTTCAATTTCTATATAATTTCAAAAACTTAAAGGCATCACCATCAGGAAGGAGATATTCGGATGAAATAAAAGAGTTTGCTGTGACTTTATACTTTTACTCACCGAAAGCATACAAATATGTTAGATCCATTATCCCATTGCCAAACCAATCTTTGATACGAAAATGGTCAACTTCGTTTAAATGTGACCCAGGCTTCATAGAAGAAGCATTCACATCCCTGTCTGATTTAATCTCTGGTTCACCAATTAACAAGGACTGCTGTTTGGTAATCGATGCAATGTCCATTCGTAAGCAGACACTCTGGGATGCTGAAAAAGATCGGTACTCAGGATTTGTTGATCTTGGTGATGAAATTCATAATGATAAGTCAGCAACACTGGCTTCTGAGGCATTAGTTTTTCTGTTGGTCGGAACAAGAAGTCATTGGAAATGTCCCATCGGATACTTTTTAGGAGATAAAATCAGCGCCAAAGACCAGGCAAAATTAGTATCGAAATCATTGGAAATGGCAGCAAAGGCTGGACTGAAGGTATGGTCGGTGACAGCGGATGGCACAGCAGTCAACCTTAGAACATTTGAAATTCTCGGTTGTAGTTTTAATGGCAGTTACGATGAGATGACCACTTCAATTATTCATCCAACTACTGGTGAAGATGTTTTTATCATTCTTGACCCCTGCCACATGCTTAAACTTGCTCGTAATGCTTTGGCACACCTCGGGACCATTGTTGATGGTGAGGGAAATGTGATAAGGTGGCACCACATTGAGGAACTTCAAAAGTTACAAGAAGTGGAAGGACTGAATCTGGGTAACAAACTTTCCCCAAATCACCTGAAATTTCAAAAACACAAAATGAATGTTAGACTAGCAGCACAAACATTAAGTTCTTCAGTGGCTAATGCTGTAGAATTCCTGGACAAATCAATGAAGTTGTCCAGTTTTCACGATAGTCATGGTACAGTTATATTTATCCGCACAATCGACCGGTTATTTGACATGCTGAATTCTCGTAACCCAATCGCTAAAGGTTTCAAGACACCCCTTCATCCGAAAGCCAAGGACACATGGGAAGAAATCTTAATGTCAACAGCAGACTATCTACTGTCGTTGAAAACAAGTGCACCTACAGGTCAACTACTTTCCACCTCGCAACGTAAAACATTTGTAATTGGGTTCGTGGCATGTATCAAATCTACAATTTCCATGGCTACACAAATGTTTAGTTTACCCACCAATCCTTTCAAGTACTTATTAACTTACAAATTCTCACAGGACCACATCGAACTTCTTTTTTCATGCATACGCTCAAGAGGAGGCTGGAATAACAACCCTAACGTTTTACAGTTCA